TATAATGATATGTATATATATATATATTATATTTATATATATATATTATATATATATATATATTTATTATTATGTATATGTATATATGGTATATGTATACATATATATGGTATATGTATATGTATATATGTATATGTTTATATATATTGTATCATGTATATTATATATGTAATATGTATATATATATATCATGTATATGTATTATATATATATGCTATATTATATATATTGTATATATATGTATATATATGGTAATATATATAATGTATATAATAATTGTATATGTATATATAATGTATATATTATATATAGATATATATTATGTATATATAATGTATATATATGTATATATATGTATATATATAATTACCGGAACACGGGCTCAGGGAATAACTGATACAACTAATACTTCAGTGCCTTCGACCGGAAGGTCCTAGGTTATGAATCCCTACGATGGCAGGATTTTCGAAACTAGCATAGATAGCTAGGGTCGAATTCAGTGCCTGTCTGAGCGGAGAATTCTAGTGGCTGCTCTGATCGGTAGTTATCCATGATTTCTCGAGCAGTGCCCTAACAAATGGGTCACGGACCTCATGGGATTTTCCTTCCTCTTCCTTGTTCATCATCACCCTTTTACTTACTCGCACATACATTGCATTTACACGCCTCTATTTACATTAATACACTGCCGCATTATGTCGGGAGTTTATGCTTGTGTAATAGATTAGCCCAGCTGCCTGCCATATGGCATCTATTGGCGGACGCTGGGGAAGGAGGATTAACCTTGCCACAGGAAGAAGGGTTTTTTCCCCGTTTAAAGCGGAGAACGCGGAAAACGGGAGACACAAGGCTTATGGTAGTATCCGGCCGTATAGAAACTTTTTCACTGTAATAACAAGCGAGGGGTGGCGTACCGTTAGTAGGGTCACCGTGGGCTCGCTATATAACAACAGGTACAGAGCCAGTGGTGGGTTCTGGAGACAAGTGGGAGAACCGTCGGTTGCGGATGCACAAAATTGGCGCCCGACGGCTGCATATGCGAGCCAGGCTCGCGCAGGTCGAGTTCACTAGTTGGACGAAGCCTGCGGATCTTTATTGGTCCTTGGGGTGACTGCGCTCGGGAGCGATGCTTGCTGGTGACGTGCTCGAGTGCAAAGTGCGTTGAGTGCACGATCACGCCGATTCTCAATCCGGATAAGATTCGCGCTTCTGCGATCGAGGCAGAACCAGCCGTTGGTGCGCCAGAACGACTTTGTGTCCAGCGTGACATCCGTCACGGAAGCTAGGCTTTGTGCGCCGCTTCAAAGTAGGAGTGGCGAATGCCACAATCAAAAACCATCTTCAATCGGGGTTTGAATCGCTCGCCGCGATCAGCGGGATAGTAGGTCTATCAAAAGCAGGGTGTAAGTAGATTATTAAGTGTATATATTTGTTTTGTTTTCTTTGTTAATAAATATATTGTCATACGAAAGCTCTATGTCTGTGGTCGCTGTGAGTATCCATGACGTCACACTTGTCTCGACTGAGGCTGAGCCCCCCCCCCTCCGGTGGGAGATACTTGGTTGGTGAAACTTTCCGTACATTGGCGCCGGATGTCGCCATCTAGCGGCGGAAGATGACTAAAACCTTCCGAGGAAACCACATGATCTACACTTCCGAGACTAATAACCTTGGCAGTTGACGCTCCCGGAATCACTAATCGATCAATATATTCATATCTTTACATACAGACATTACACGCGTACGAAAGCCATACGATACGATAACCAGTTTTATAAGAAACTCATGATTCGAAGCTCCGAGTGTGCTCTCCTGTTGGGTAGTGACTTACTGTAGTAGTAGTAGTAGTTAACAGATCTGAGACGGGCAGAAATTCGCAGAATGTGACCCAAGGAAAACAGCAGGCTCACCCGAGACCACAGTTCATGGTACGTTGCATGACACGTTCCCATCGCGCGTAACTCTCAAGCGATGTGTCCTAGGCGCTTTAATAGAACCAGGTTTCTGTCTCCCAAAGGAGAATGAGTTTTTCTTTGGCCGTCAACGAGACCTTTGGACGTTCTATTACGTTGTTGGAGTGCACTCCTGTTACGTGTTATGAGTCGGAAGAAATGTATGAAGTCCAATACGAAATATTTTCTTTCGCACCTTTAAAACATTGCAAAAGTTGGCACATATCCATTAGTTGGATTTATTTTATAACAGAACGATGAAAAATAAAAACTTCTTGGGAATTGTGATATTTAATGGTTACTTATTAAATAGCCCCGTCTACCATTTTCCGCGGTGGCATGTGGCCACTCCGTCAGCTTTTTCCACGTGACACCACTAGACAACAGTGGCGGATCCAGGGTGGGGCCATGGCGGCCACGGCCCCCTCCAAGGAGTTTTCGTTTGTTACCTTCTTTTATATGGCAAAATTGATTTAAATATTTATTAATAATAAAATTATTTAATTATTTAAAAAGAAATAATATAGAAAAGTATATTATATGTACACTACAAAAATAATATATAACATGAAAACAAATGTTTATTATTTAACAAAACTCTACGATGGCCCCCTCCAGAATGATCGGCTGTATCCGCTCCTGCTTGCGTAAAAGAGAGTGCAGTGAATTGTGCATCGTGTTGTATCCCGCTGTGCGATGCCTCAGAAGGTAAGAGGCGCAGTGGGGGAAGGGAAGGCAAGCCTCTTTCCCCTCCCCGCCCACGCCATGGAGATGGACGTGTGCTTTGCATTGTGGGCCCGCCACTCTGTCCGTCTGTACGTCTACCGCATTGCCATCTTATGGGGGCTCTCCCAGCCCCGTCCCACCCACTTACCCATCCGCAGTGTTAAAGACAGAAAGTTGACTAGTGGTATGGTAGGGAGGAATGTCTGTGACCATTGCTTACGGTCTGCCCTGTTGGTCTAGCAACAATACAATATAGCCTCTATTTCAATAAATGAACGGCGATATGGAAAAGTTTGAATTCTATTTTAGTATTACGAGATTTACAGTTTAAATATTCGACATACTGTATAGGAGGGTACTGCGATGAAAATTGCTGTTACGAAGAAATTCGTCTTATCGACTATTGAGCAATTGTTTTGATGGTGGTTACAAGATTGCATTTACAATTTGTTTCCAAGTCTCTTATCGTGCATTTTCCCTGAATATGGTTGTCATAAGTTTCCTAATTTTCTCGTGTATTTTTTACTCTCATTTACTCACTTTCACACTACGTGTGGCAAGGTTTACGTCGGGTATTACTCAAGTTTTTGATCGTAAGTTTGAAATGCAGGTAGTTACACGCATGGATGTCAAATGTGGAAAATTGAATGTGTTGCGAATTAATGTCGCGTCAATATCACTTTGACTGAATGCTTAGGGAAACTTCATAAACAGACACGATGTACGATCAAAAAAGATAAAAGAATGCTTCGAGAAGTTAGATGCACCAGACTGTATCAGATAGGTTGACGAGGGCCTCATATGCTACACTGCTTTGATAATATCAAGTAATCAACTCGTGAAATGCGAGTTAATTTCATCACTGAGAGGGATCTGCATGGTGGGCAGGCGATCTGCCAAATCCATGCGCAGAATGTGAGATTCAAATTCGATCTGCGGTTCTCTCCTGTGGGGGAACCGGTAGACTCGCGTGTCACTTAATGAAAACTGCCCGGTAACAAACATGGCCACTGTATACAATTATCAACAAGTTGTATATTCTTTGTTGCAGAACGACTTCGTGATGTAATGCTATCTACTCGACTCTTTATGCCTATTAAGCTAGAATTCTCGTTCCCCGACATTACTCTGTATGCCTCTCTTTTCTGAGACTTCGATTACATATTCCCCCCTACCGTGTCTTCATTTCGTCTTTATCTGGGAGATCTCTGGTGTGACGTAAGCATGATTGTATTGCTTATTCCTTCCCTTCACTTTCTTATGGAGCAACTATCTATTATCCATAAGACCCTACCCAAAAATTTTACCCTCGTGTTCATTATTTTTTGTAATACTGTGCTGTTAAATGGACCATAAGAACAAAAGCAGTCAGAGGAGCAAAACCCCCACTTCTGAAAGGTTGACGTCCGTAAAGGATTTTCAGAATCCGCTGTCCGTTATGGACTATCCAAACAAAGGAGGTGTAAGTAAAGATGGGGTGCGAGTACTTTTTTTTTAAAAAATGGTACTTAATTTATTCCAATAAGAAGGTATAAGGAAAAGTATTAAAGGATACACAGCCGTTATTAGAAATAAGAATTGGCCGGGCCCTTTAAGTTAATATCTATATATTCACTTTTCTTTCGTAGTTATTCACCTCAGGGTGTTTCTCTCGATCTTCTGTTCTCTAGCTATTTTTTCCCTCCGTCGCTTCGGCCAGTTACTTCAGACTCGCCCTGCGCAGTTGTTTGAAATCTCGTAACAAGGGGGACCATTCTTTAAGGGAAACGCCCTCGAGCCCCGCGCTGCCCACTTACGGGAGGAGCCCAGGGCGGCTGGCGCTGCGGTGACGGCCACTTCTCGCGAGCGCCCGCGCACTCGCGCCCGTGGCGGCGTCGTGGGCGGGCACGAAGGGCGCGGAGGGTTTGGAGGGCGCCTAACAAGCCCTTGAGCGCTTCCGCGCAGCCAAGGGCTGTCCACGCCGTCTGCGGCTCCAGGGCGAGGCCATTACTCGTCCACGTGCGTCGATGCATAGTTAATTGTCAGAATGTAAAGGGGGGAGCTGGAGATGAGAGCGAGTGGAAGGACTGAGCGAAGGACGCTGAGGTGAATGTTGCGGTTGTTTCCGGGCGCGGCAATGGCTACGTTTGTCACGTGTCCCATGTGTGTTGTGCATGTTATATGCCGGAAAATGAGATCAGACTCCAACCTACACTTCAGCTTGCGGATTTTTCTCAGGCGTTTCCAGAATCTCCCAAACGGGGCAGCGCCCCAGCCACGTCAAGCCGCAATCTCCCGGCTGATCTCCTTACACGTGTGGAAGTGTAGTTCATCAAAAGATAAATGGGGAGAGATGAGACAACGATGAGGAAGGAAAAATCGCGTGCGGTTTGTGGCCATTTTGTTAGGGCATCACTATGGAATTCACCCGTTATTGTTCGGAGAAACCATTGAAAGTACCGAGTAGCCGTCCACCAGAGTTGTAGTGGCTGAGTTCCACCTAGTTGTAAAGCTAGTGTGGAAAAACCGCAACCGCTGTGCCTCGATTCATAAGACCAGAGATGCTGCAACAGCTTTTGTTCTGAGTCATTTCAGTCAGTTGATTTTTTTTAATAAAGAGAAAATGTAGAGTGAACACATGGGAAAGGCTTCCTAGGTGAGTCGATAATCAAAAAATACATTTTGGTGGCTTGGCGATGCAAGGCGCAAGGTGTAAACATGATGTAAACATGCACTTACGCATCATCTCCCAGCTTCAGTTAGTGCAACATGGCAGCCTATTTCAAGAAAATAATGTGTTGACGCGATAAGGCAAGATAGTCAAAGAAATAAAATGCAATAAGAATGTCAGTCGCATAAACGTGGAGGAAAAATACAAAGAAAATTTCCATAATTCGTACTAAAACGCACCATTTCAATTGAGCAGCCTATGAGTGTCGGATTTTTTTTTTTTAGTTTTTCTCAATTTCGACCCCATTTTAACGTATTGCGTTTAAACAATCCATGAAGATAATGTTTTTTGAATGACTCCTTTAGCGTAGATCCCTATTGACGCAATGCCAGGTTTCGACGTGCATAGCTGTGCGCAATTTTCTACCCGCTCCAGCTCTCACAATGACTGAGAAATTAATATTATTTACTCGTTTATTTTACTACAGAATATTCGATTGTTTATCTACAAGAAATCGTTTATCTGCTATACAGCATATTTATCGTTAATTTTCATATTATAATACGACATATTACTTATTCTGTCAAGAGTTTCCTCATACTCCTAATTAATATGCTTCTCGTGAGAATTTGTTGATTTTAATTATGTCAATAACATCTGTCATTTGTGTGGCTAGGTGTGCTAGGTGAGGGTGTTCTAATATATAGTATAATATATATATATATATATTTTTATATTAATTATTTTTATATAAAATATTATATATATATATATATATAGGGGTTTCCACCAACACAACATTGAACTGGAATCTTTATCTCATGAAAAAACTGGGCTACCTTCAAATGTCACGCGAATTGTGTCAATCATCATCATCATAATCAAAAGCTTAATGAATTCTTCATCCTGGTTATTTTAGAGACGGTGTGTTTTTTGGCGTTCGAGCTTGGTTTGTGATGTGTGCGCAAGTGCGCTCCCTTAGCCTTCACGTGACATGTTCTTCCTTGTGCCGCAGACCCTGCTACTGAACAACGGGGACTGCCCGCCCATCTTCAGCCACGTGTGGGTTCGCGAGGCCAACAAGCAGGTGTGGAACAAAGCGTTTCTCCTGCTCAAGAACCGCTGCCTCTACCTCTCCTACAAGGTAAGACAAATCGCTCATGAAATGCGATATCAACCTTCTCCACTACTTTTTACCTACTTAAGCTAGGGAATAAGTGTCACATTTTTCACAGAGTACTTTGCTCGAAACGTGTGAATCAATCACAAGGTTTCGGAGACGGAGTGAGACAGTATAGTTACACATGTTTAAAAAAGTTTACCTGGACTGTGTTGTGAACACAGTACAGGGCTTACGTCACAACTATAGGTGGTGAGATAAAAAATCCGTACGTTTTAAAATAAATGTAGATAAATTAATTGTTTTCCTAAAATTGAATTCAATCTACATTGCAGACAGATGCTTTCCTTTTCATTCTAAGTAGCAATGCCTCCTCTGGAATAGTGACCAAAGCCCCCAACGATAATTGTGTTTAAATACCGCTGCCTCCTGAGAATGAAACCACACGCTAAAGCAGTTCTTAATTGCACTAAATAGCTGGAAATCAGTTTCGCAGCGCGCCTCACAACAGGCTCTGATGACGTCAAAACAAGTTTTTGTGAGAAGAATGAACCCTAAGGAGGGACTCAGTCTGTGGCACATTTCCATTTGCTTCACCGAGAAATTGTCGGGGACTGCGAAGTCGCTCACGTTGTTAAGATTTGGGGTTGTGTTGCAAGAGAGTCATATCAAAATGAAAGTAGAGGACACGGAAATGATCTGTTCATGGGACCAACGCCTGTTGATTAAATGCGTAGTTGTTTTTTGTTAGTTTCTGTATTGGCAATCATGTTTGTTAGTTCAATGAACAAACTAATCTTGACTAACTCTGACTAACAGGAGTGCAAACTTGTCTCACCTTAAGATTTTTATCAAAAGATCAGTAATTATCCGTGAGACAATTATCCGGATATCATTCAGGAGTCCCTCATTCATTCATTGATCTACGCTCCTGAAGTATGTTGTTTCGAGCTTCAGATACTAATAAAGTTGTAATAGCACAAGATGTGCTAAAAGAGCATCTTCAAGGGGATCTGCTAACATCCCATTACTGTGGAATATGTAGCGGTTTTCACGGTAGTACTTCAAATAGTTTTCTCGTGCTTTGGCTCTATATTTCTATTGTTAACATCATTCAAACTGTTCCGTGTTTTCGTAATAAAACATTGTTATTTTTCATAACGTTTTTATTGTCTGGACATTTTGAGATTCTGCATGGTTTACTGCAATGATTGTTGTAAAATAAGTTGTTGGAAATTATATATTACATAAAAATCTAAGGTTAAATTGAAAAACTAATACTAACAAAAAAATGAAAAATTTGTAATGTCGATCGTGGTAACACTCCCTTTCATAGTATATGTAGCACTAGTTCTAATGGATTAATCGATAAAATAATGAGGTACAGAAATATTACTTTGTGGTTTGATGAGAAAGATGCTAGCGGTTAATAATTTAAGTTTAAAGTAACCAACCAAAGCTCTCTAAAACAATTTAAGCTGTAATGAAACTACAAAATAAACAAAAGCTGATGGAAAGCTTCTTCAGACTAGAAAATTCTCACTTAGAATTGGCTGAAAGCTCTACGCAAATTTAGTATTACTGCACGAAAATGAAGTATATTACAAAACGACAATGTGTCACAAACTCTTTACGAGTTTATTAATACCTGATACATGGAGTTACATTCAGTAAATTTTCCACCTCTAATGAAAACCAACAAGTTAGCCCTACGTATTTACTATACTGCCGTTTCCCGTAGACATTGTTTAACTGACTGACTCTCATTTAACGTATTCGTGTTTTGCTTTGTCGTTGTTCGGTTTGAAAGAAAGCAATTAAAATGCAAACCTGAAGAAACAAAACATTCTAACACCCAGAGCTTTGTATTAATTCTTCATGAGGTCAGAATATGGTACGACCAATCGCGTGTTAGTACAAGAGGTAAGTGGGATCGGACCAAATTCAGTTTTGATCCAATTTATTTCAAAAAATCATAAAAGTGTTGTCTTCCTTCCTACGTATTAACTCGATCATTTTCATTACCATAAATATCTGATATAGTCATCAAGGACATCAAATACTAATCTGATTTTTGTAAACTGGGGAACGCATCTGTTCACTTTTATTACAATTTTTTGTAGTATTGACTATAAAAAAATACTAATTATTCATAACATATTAATGTTTGTTTAGCAAAATGTTGTGATCGGTCGAAACAATGTTCTATAATGAAGATTTGTCATAATGAGTATAATTATGAAATGTGCTTTCGGATTAAAAAAGAAAATTAAACAATGGGAATACAAAAAGTCATTCTCACATAGTTAAGAACGAAGATTCTATATTGTATACTAAGTTCTGAGCTCCCGACATTTGCGGGAGTGTAGTGCATGTAAGTGTAAATGTGTGAGAGGAAGGGCTGATGATAAGGCATGGGTAAGTAAATAAAGATCGCGCTTGGTTCATGATTGGTTTATAATAATAATAATATTTATTTGGCTACAATGGGCTGATTGCCAGGTGGTAGCCACAACCCTACAGTTTTACAATATATGAACATTTATAATACAAAAACAATTTACCATATAAAAACAATTTACAATACACTTCTTTCGAGCATATACACTCAATATATAAAGACACAGACCTGTATACATCTATGGCACAGACCTGTATACATCTATACACCCATACACCCACAAACACATATATACACACACATGCATGCATGCATGCATGCATACATACATACATACATACATACATACATACATACATACATACATACATACATACAAACAAACACATTCCTATACATGAATGCTCACTCTCACGTTCACACATAACACGAACACACACTCACTTGCCCTACGTATTATACATGCCTACATTTAAATGAAGAACATATATTTAGTTACACCTTGTAAACATGCACATATATACATATACATAAAATTCACCAGTTACACAGTTTGTTTTTTAAATATAAACACAATGTGGATTTTTAAAGTTAGCTCTTTAAGCATTTAGATTTGCTCCCCACCTTAGATTAGCTCTCCACCATATTATTAGGTGTTACTCCAGCATTCACCTGGTACATCCCGCGCCCATGTACGGAAAGTTTCACCAACCAAGTATCTCCCACGCGGGGGGGGGGGGGCTCAGCCTCAGTCGGGACAAGCTATAAACTCCCGACATATGCGGCAGTGTATTAATGTAATAGAGCGTGTAAATGCAACTGTATGTACGAGTAAGTAAAAGGGTGATGATAGAACAAGGAAGAGGAAGGAAAAATCCCATGAGGTCCGTGACCCATTTGTTAGAGCACTGCTCGGAGTAATCACGGAAAACTGCCGATCAGAGCAGCCGTCTGCTAGAACTCGCAAGCAGTGGTGGAATTCGACCTACCTATTTGGCTAGTATAAAAATCCACCACCATCAGGACTCGAACCGTAGGACCTTTCCGTTAGTCATTGCACAGACAACATTAAAGCTTCCTTTGAGCCAAATCAACCGGTTTGAGTCTGTTTTTTTCTGAAGCTTTCTCTGTCGTGAAGTATTCTATGAAGTGATGTTTAAGCTCATTATTGATTAATGACTATTGATTAATAAATTATATCAAGGTATTCCGTATCCAATGGAAAGAAAAATAATACAAAATGCCATAAAAGCATTTTCCTAAATGTTACATAAAAATCGTTGGGTACCATCAAAGGCCGTGGGGCGCTTGGCGATGTATTCAGTGTTTCTCCCACGCCAATACCTCTGGCGGGGCGACCGCTTTTTGGCATAATACATGTCGGATTTTGTGTGGAAACATAAGGGGAAATGTATTGTGGAAATATGTTTCTAGGTATCATAAATATTATATTACATAGTAACATTTTCCTTTTTATTCAAACACGTCCAGTCCCACTATTCTAAGGTTGTTGGAAGTTGTAGATACGTGTTTCTCAGTACTCAAATCCACCTCGTCGCAGCACCCGTGTGCCTCAAGGCTTCCGTGGCGCGGCACGGCGCGCCGGTGCGGGGAGTTATTACGTGGCCTGCCACACATCGCCCGCTGCGGCCGATGCCAGGCCGCGGCGTGCAATTGTTTCCGCGAAGCTGCCCCGCAGCCGGAGGCGTCCCGCGCGCTACCTCAAGCAGCCAGCGACCAATCACGCCCCGCTCCGCCTTTCCGTTCTTCCCCGCTCTTCCC